GGCCCCCCAGGGGCCCCCCCAAGGGGCCCCCCAGGGGCCTCCCCTAGGGGCCCCCCAGGGGGGCCCCCTGGGGGGCCCTCTCCTATATTTTCATAGGGAAGAAAAGGAGTATGATCGGGAGAAGGGTCAACGCCTAGGGGCCCCATTGGGTCATATCGGGCCCCTTGAGGAAGCTGGGGGGCCCCCCTAGAAGCGCAGCAGCAAAGATAACATACATACATATATATATGTATATATATTGCTGTTGCTGCTGCTGCTGCTGCTGCTGCTTGTGCGTTTGTTTGTGGAGGCCGCACCAGCGAGAGAACCCTACTCTCTCCTTAGGGTTTAGGGTTTAGGGTTTAGGGTTAATTACTAACCTATTATTATCTCTATTAACTTGAAACAACGGATGCCTAGGCCCTACTAAGCTTCCTCCTGAACCCCCTAAACCCCAGGGGGCCCCTGGGGGCCCCTCGAGCGAAGAACTTGTGAAGGATGGGTTGAGGTCGTCAGCACCTACAGAAGGCAGGGGCCCCCTTTGCTGCTGCTGCGCTGCAGCAGAGGGTATAGACACCTCAGGGGGGGGGCCCTGCAGCAGACGGAGAAGAAGCAGCAGCACAGCAGCAAATAAACAAATAAACAAACAAACAAATATATAATAACAGAAAAATAAACAAACAAATATATAAATATATTAACCAAGTATATTAATGCTGTTATACTCTATTTATAAATATATATATGTATATATACATTTATATATATATATGTTTATATATATATATATATATTTATATTTATATATTTATATCTATGTGGGTTTATTTATATTATTATTTCCCTCTTATAAAAAAAAATATTTGGCTCCCGAGCCCCACCAAACAAATACAAAGAAAATAGCGAAGCAACTGCTGCTGCTGCTGCTGCTGCTGCAGCTGCTGCTGCTGCTATACTGCGTGCTGCGTGCATGCAGCTCTCAACGTAACTGCAGCATAAAGTGTATACACTCTAAACCCTAAACCCTAAACCCTAACAAAGCTCAGCTTACACCTACAGGGAGGGGGCCCCCTGATGCCGCTGGGGGCCCCCTCAGTAAGGGAGAGAAAGACGAAGAAAACAGACGGCCCTGCAGCAAACTCTCCAAGCACTGCAGCAGCAGCAGCAGCAGCAGCAGCAGCAGCAGCAGCAGCAGCAGCAGCAACAGTAGCAGCAATAAGAATACAGGGGAGCAGCAACGCAGCAGCAGTAACAGCAGCAACAGTAACAGCAGCAGCAACAGCAGCAGCAACAGCAGCAGGTATTAGGCCTGATCCTTGACCAAGGCAATTAACGCTCAACAAACCCTAAACCCTAAACCCTAAACCCTAACCTGCAGTTTTTTCATGTCGAAGTAGAGGAGGGGATCGTTGGCTGCCCCTTGAGCGCCTGCTGCTGCTGCTCCTGTTGCTGCTTCTGCTGCTGTTGCTGCTGCTGCAGCCAGGTCATCTGGGAGTTCTAGCAGCAGCGCCTCGCCGCTGCTGCTGCTGCTGCTGCTGCTGCTGCTGTCTTCGCGTACCCGCAGCACTGCGCGGCCCCCGACGCGCCCCAAACTCAAGCGCGTGCGCCTGCCTGCAACCAACTGCTGCTGCTGCTGCTGCTGCTGCTGTTGCTGCTGAGAAGGAGCAGCAACAAGGACTCGCCACTCGGGTCGGGTGTATGTACAGCTCCAGCCATCATCTCCCTTTTCTGCTGTATACACAATACGAGCAATCTGCCCATTAGGAAGCTTTACTAAGCTCCCTGCTGCTGGTGCTGCTGCTGCTGTTGCTGTTGCTGCTGCTGCTGCTGCTGCTGCTGCATCTTCGTCTTCGCAGGGTATAAAGCCGAGATCAATCATCTTAGAGTGTATATACACCTCAAGCGCCCTCTGTCCCTTCAGAGGAGCAGGCAGAAGCCGCACCAGCTCCACGAAAGTTGGCGTTATATTGCTGCTGCTGCTGCTGCTGCTGCTGCTGCTGCTGCTGCACTCCTGGGGGGCCCCCTGGGGGCCCCCCTGTGCAGCTGCTGCTGTTGTAGTCTTCATACAACCTCCAGCTGCAGTACCGCCAGGAGAAGCTACCATTAGGGTGCATACACCTGAGGAAATACGGTGCTGCTGCCGCTGCTGCGGCTGCTGCTGTTGCTGTCGCTGTTGCTGCTGCTGCTGTTGCTGTTGCTGCTGGTCTGCTGCTGCTTCTGCTGATGCAGCGTGTGTATTTAGACTTTAAATCCGCAAATAATAATATAAATAAGAGAGAAAATCTAATGTCTATACTGAAGAAGCAAAAGCCTAAACCCTAAACCCTAAACCCTCAGGACGTACACACGGCGAAGCCCCGTAGCGGCTGCAGCCGCAATAGCTGCGAGAGTTAGGGTGTATAGGCAGCTCGATATAATAAAATTAATTAAATAAAATAATTTTAAACTCAAATAACTCAAACAATATTCATAAGCAGAGCGGCTTCAGCCGCCTCGCCAAGCAGCATAGCAGCAGACTCTTCTGCTGCTGCTGCTGCTGCTGCTGCTGCTGCTGCTGCTGCTGCAGCTGCTGCTTCTGCTGCAGGGGGTTTTGTGGGGTGTGTGCATCTGCTGCAGCAAATTAAAGACAGAAATACCGTCTGCAGCCGCGGGTCTATCTGCTGCAGACCCTCATAAGAGAGGCCTAAACCCTAAACCCTAAACCCTAAACCCCCGGAAGCGCGCCGCAAGGCCTGCAACGGGCCTTTTCATTGCTGCAGCAGCGCTTGCTGCAGCAGTATACAGAGAGGTGTAGCTCTCTATGCTTCAAACCCTAAACCCTAGAACCCTAAACCCTAAACCCTCGAGGAGGCCTCACAACAGCAGAGAAGCTTCTCTTTTAAACACAGCACACGCACAACCCTCAGCAAACCCTAATGAGGGTTTAGACACTCATCAAACAGTGCACCCACAGGAACAGCATCAGCAGCAGCAGCAGCAGCAGCAGCAGGCCGCTGCAGTTGTTGCTGTTATTTGCGACGCTGTCTGCACCCCTTATGCGGCTCCTTCTGCAGCAGCAGCAGCAGCAGCAGCAGCCAGGTGCTGCCGCCACTACCGCTGTTGTTGCTGCTGTTGTTCCGGCTGTTGCTGTTGTTGTTGTTGCTGCTGCTGCTGCTGTTTCTTTACAGGGACAGGCACTGCACGTTACCTCTTCACCGAAGGAGGCGTATAGTGTAGCACGAGGGTTTAGGGTTTAGGGTTTAGGGTTTAGCCGCACGTGCCGTGGGCGAGCTCGGGTGAGGGTTCTTCGTTCCGAATACCAACGAAGTGGAGACAGTGGTACTGCACCTGCAGAGACAAGGGTTTAGGGTTTACAACAAGGGTTAGGGTTTAGGGTTTAGAACGAGGGTTTAGGGTTTAGGGTTTAGAACGAGGGTCTAGGGTTTAAAAAAAGGCACAGGGAGTAGGACAGGGAGATATTAGGGTTTACAACGAGGGTTTAGCGTTTAGAATGAGGGTTTAGCGTTTAGAATGAGGGTTTAGGGTTTAGAAGAAGGGTTTAGGGTTTAGGGTTTAGGGTGTATACTCACCTGCATCATCGATTTGCGGTTAGAAGTATAATAGCAGTCTCTCCACTCTACTTTAAGTAGATTAAACCAATTCCTTACAACTGCACGCAAACCCTAAACCCTAAACCCTAAACCCTAACTCCCTCAAGTTTCCATCGCATGACTTGCCTGAAGAAGGGGTCTCTGCATCCTTTAGGGTTTAGGGTTTTAGGAGAGAATTCTCTATTAATTCCTGCGGTGTCTCTGCATAATGATATCCAACTGTCTACAGCCTCTTGCTTAGGGTTTAGGGTTTAGGGTTTAGGGTTTAGGGTTTAGGGTTTAGGGTTTACCAGCGAGTATTTCTTCAGCAGAGAACTCTACGCTCATTTCATGCGGTGTCTCCGCATAATGATACAGCAGAGGGCCGACGTTTGCCCACAGACCGCCGGGCCTAACAATTTTAGCAATTGTTTTGATATAAAGAAGTACATTTCTAGCTGTATCTAAAAAAAATGACGTTAATACACCGTCAAACACACGCGATGAAGGAGGAAGAGATGTTGAAGGACTACCGTATACCTGTATATACACCCCAATTCACATACAATACCCTAAACCCTAAACCCTTAAACCGTAAACCCTAAACCCTTAAACCCTAAACCATTAAACCCTAAACGGTAAAACCCTAGACCCTAAACCCTTGGACCCTAGACCCTAAACCCTTGGACCCTAGACCCTAAACCCTTAGCCCTTGACCCTAGACCCTAAACCCTAAACCCTAAACCCTAAACCCTAAACCCTTAGATGAAAATTACCTCAACAAATTCTCCTGCACACATGGAGAAATCCGCAGAGGGGCAGACATGCTCGCTGGGGGCTACATCGGGCACCCAGACAACATCAAGATGATCGGCTTGAGACCTCCTAAAGAAAATAAAGACAATAAACAAATTAAATTAATTAACTAAATTAAATTAAATTAATTAAATTAAATTAAAGAAACTGAAAAAAGAAACAAAAAGATATATAAAAAATACATCAAGAACGCAAACAACATCGAGATTATCTCCTAAAGAAAATAAACAAATTAAACAAATTAAATAAATTAAATTAAATAAATTAAATTAAATAAATTAAATTAAATTAAATTAAATTAAATGTATTAAGTAAGATAGATCAAAAAAAGAGATAAAATGATGTAAAAGAGACAAAAAGAGATAAACAAATAAAGAGAGATAAACAAATAAAGAGAGAGAGATAAACAAATAAAAAGAGAGAGATAAGCAAATAAATAAAGAGAGATAAATAAATAAATAAATAAATAGCGACAGATAAACAAATAGAGAGAGAGAGATATAAACAAATTAAAAAAGATAAAGTAGAGGCTCTCTGCAATACCTATTGGAGGTGGAGAGACAGTACGGCTGCAGCGGCAGCGACTTCGGGGTCAAGCGAGAATTCAATAGAAAATCAGACCCTAAGCAGCAGCAGCAGCAGCAGCAGCAGCAGCAGCAGCAGCAGCAACAGCAAGAACAGCGTCAGCAAGAGCAGCAGCAGCAGAAGCAGCAGAAACATATGCATTTATTACGCATATCGAACGAGAGAGAATCTACAACAGAAGACAGCTGCCTATACACCTCAACGCCTCAGCCTCCGTCATACCATCCTCCAGGTCTAGGGTTTAGGGTTTAGGGTTTAGGGTTTAGAAGCACCTATAAGCATAAAGTAAGAAAATTCATTGCCCTGACATGCATAGCCTTTCCTCATCACTTCAAACGGAAGCCGCCCCAAACCCGAACCCGGGCACAACACCCTGCACACCCAAACCCTAAACCCTAAACCCTAAACCCTAAACCCTAAACCCTAATCCCTAAATGTTTTAGTCTGTGCTTCTTTCGCCCTCAGGAACGGCAGTTTACTGTCTACTATCCCCTCTGCATCATCAAATCTAAAACCCTAAATCACCATAAACCCTAAACCCTAAACCCTAGACCCTAGACCCTAGACCCTAGACCCTAGACCCTAGACCCTAAACCCTAAACCCTAGAGGACCTGGGGGGATTTTGGCCTGGTGTTATGGGCAAATGCTCCTCTAAGGCCCTCAGAAGGGGGCCGTAAGCTGCTTCTCTCTCTTCAGCACCTTCCTCAGCCCAGTCACGAACGAACTGACGCAGCGTGCTCCGCACCTGCAGCAGCAGCAGCAGCAGCAGCAGCAGCAGCAGCAGCAGCAGCAGTGGCATTGGCGGGAGTACGAGGGGGGAGGTGCATGAAGCGAAGCTGCAGCAGCAGCAGCAGCAACTGCTGCTGCTGCTGCTGCAACGGCAGATGCAAACAAAGCAAAAGAAAAAAAAATGAATCCCCGCCTTTGCTACTCAGCTGGGGCAGCGGCAGCAGCAGCAAGAACAGCAGCAGCAGCAGAACAGCAGCAGCAGCAGCAGCAGCAGCAAGAGCTACCTTGCTGAGGTTGCGAGTGAGTTTCTCTGGGTCTTCTTGTTCTGCCTCCAGCAGCAAGCGGCGGCAGTCCCCCTTGACGTCCTTCCCAAGCTGCTGCTGCAGTTGCTGCTGCAGTTGCTGCTGCTGCTGGTCTAGCTGCTGCTGCTGGTCTTGCTGTTGCTGTTGCTGCTGCTGCTGCTGCTGCTGCATTTTTTGTTGCTGCATCTTCTTCCTCCTCCTCTTCTTTGTAGTCTGCTGTCCCCCCTTGCCTTGTTTGTTTTGTTTTTGCTGCTGTTTTTGCTGCTGCTCCTGCTGCACTTGCTGCTGCTGCATTTGCTGCTGCATTTGCTGCTGCATTTGCTGCATCTGTTGCATTTGCTGGATACGCTGCTGTTGTATTTGCTGCTGCTGCTGTTCATTATCAGAATGTGCTGCCTCTGAGGTCCCCCCTCTAGGGGTAGAGGGCCCCACAGAAGCAGCAGCAAGAAGCATATAATCAATAAACTGCTGGTTTAAAGCAACAGCTCTTCTTATTGCTTCTACTCTTTCTTCTGGTGAAGGGGGCCCCAGCAGCTCTCTGTCTTCTTCGCTTAGTTCGTTCAGATACTTCTCTATCCTCGCAACATCGCCTAAGGAGTCTACCTCATAAAGAGCAAACGCTCTTCGGACAGCAGCCAAATGCTGCAGCTCCTCAGCCATCTCCCAAGGCAATATACCCCCGCTACAACCCCCACCTGGGGCCCCCTCTGGGGGGCCCCCAGGGGCCCCCTCCTCAGGGGCCCCTTCCTCAGGGGCCTCTACCTCCTCATCTGGGGCCTCCTCCTCATGGGCCCCCGTCATAGGGGCCCCCATAGGGAGATTGCCTTGAGGGGCCCCCTCTGGGGGGCCCCCAGGGGACCAACCCCCATCAAGGGCCCCCTGAGGGCATCCCCTATGGGGGCCCCCAAGGGGGCCCCCAAGGGGGGCCCCTGGTAATGGGGGCCCCCCACAAGGGGGGCCCATTGGAGGTGGGGCCCCTCCAGGGGCCCCCCCTGTTGCCCCCAATGGTAGGGGCCCCCCAGGGGCCCCCGAAGGTGGGGTACCCCCAGAGCAACCAGTGTGGGGGGGGGCCCCCCTAGGGGCCCCCCCTAATGTCTGTTTCTTGTTTGTCTCATTCTGTAGAGATCCTAAGGGGGCCCCCAAGGGGGCCCCCATGGGTACTGCTGTAGCTGCACAGGGGCCCCTCTTATCTGTTTGATTTACCTCACCATAGGGGCCCCCACATGCTTCTTCTTTGCATCCGGATTCAGCAGAATCTAGGGGCCCTGAAGATAACGTAGGGGGGCCCCCAGCAGTACCCTCATGGGGGCCCCCTGCTGCAGACATAGGGGGGCCCCCTGCTGCTTTGATAGGGTGGCTTGCTGCTTCTGCCTGGCAGAGGGTATCAGGAGACAGTTTAACTGGAGATAATACTTCTGCTGCTTCTGCTGCTGCTGCTGCTGCTGCTGCTGAGACAGCAGCAGGTGGCGAGGAAAAGGGCTGCGATACCCTTAAAGGGGGGCCCCCAGAAGAAGCAACA